TGGGGCGGCTGAGTGCCGGGCTGGCCGCCCACCAGCCCTGGCCTGTCCCGACACGCTTTGCTCCCTCCCTCCCTGGGCTGCGGCAGCCAGAGCCAGGCGCTCACCGGCACGTGTGTGGTTTCCAGGTATCGAACCGCGGCGGAAGTCACCAAGCGCGAAATAACTTGTGCTTGCAGGTACCGGTCACGTTCGATGACATCTCGGTGTACTTCAACGAGCAGGAGTGGGAGAGGCTGGAGCGCTGGCAGAAGGATCTGTACCGGGCTGTGATGAGGGGGAACTACGAGATGCTCATCTCCCTGGGTGAGGCACGGCGTCGGCACCGCTGGGCGTGGGCTGGGCTGCTTCCCCCCACAGCCCCAGGGGTGGGCTGGGTCAGTAGGGCAGAGCCTCTCCTGGGCAGGCAGACCCCTGCGCTTTCCCCCCTTGCTGCTTGTAAAGCAATAACGTCAGAGAGAGTAAGGAATAGCGATGGTAACACAAGCAGTGTCAATGATAGAAAAATATCTGTGCGAGACGCTGCTCCTGATGACGCTGTAGGTGGATTCCTGGGTCAGGGAACCGTGGTCATCTTCCCGCACAGTTCAGTAACTATCTGGGTGAAGTTTGAGAGCGCGTCTTGAACTCGTTCTCGTTTTCTGTCTGCTCAGGTGAAGGGACAGGGACAGGGTTTAGGGTGGACTTGACTGTGCTAGCTCAGCGGTTGGACTTGCTGATCTTAAAAGTCCCACCCTCAGTGCTTCTGTGGTTTCCTCGTGCCTTGGTAAGGAACTGGCCGGGCTGTGCTCGGTGTAAGGACACCGAGGTGCTCTGGGGTGACCTGGGCTGGAAAATGTTCCCCACCAAAAGCTGTTTCTTGGGCTTGACCCCTAACGTGCGGCTCTGTCCAGTGCCTGAAGCTGAGGCGTCACTTTTCCCAAGAATGTTCTGTAAAAACAGAACAAAGCTGCTCCTCTCGCGGTCCGTTGCACGCAGACATTCCTACAGAGCAGGAAGTTTTCCGTCCCTGCTCCAGAACAATAGCTCCGAAGCACTGCTCTTCAAATCACCACTGAGGCTGAGGTGAGGGGAAAATGTTAAAGCTTTTCCCTCTGCTTTGGGATTTGAGTTCCTGTTCTGCTGCTGAGATTCTCTCTGTCCTTGAGCTCCCGCCGTGCCCACGGTGGATCCTGCTTCAGGGCCAGGAAAGCGGCACGGCGTTTCTGGTTAGAGCACGGAGAATAGATGTCTGTCTGTCTGTCCTGCCTGCCGGGCTTGGGGAGAGGAGGGTACTCCGAGACCTCGACAGGACAAAGTGCAGCCGATTCCCAGTAACACACTCTGTGCTCTGCCCCCTGAGCAGACTATGCCATCTCCAAGCCCGACATCCTCTCCCGCATCGAGAGGGATGAAGAGCTCTGCGCCCC